AGAAAAATAGCAGATTAGGTGTTGAATCTACCTTCAGATAAAACTCAAGTAGGGGTTACTTTCTAAACACATTTTGATCTGCAGCATCATGTTGTGATTGAATCTGGCACCAGGAATGTTCTGGTGACTCATTACTCATGGATGATATCAAATCTCACAATCAACAGCATCGAACAAACATGAAGGGAAAATTAAAATCACTGGGTGTATTATTGAAATCAAACCCTGGAGCTTCAAAGCATCATTAGTGTGCACATATTAAAATTTGGGAGGCCACACTTGATCCCATAAAGTGACAAAACAACCTCATAAAAAGACTAACAGAGCCGGGAAGTAAGAAAGAGGAACAAACGTTTTGAATGAAAACTGCTGTTCCAGTTTGCAGACTGAGGCATCAGACAGTAAACCTAATGCCACTTTTACTGACTGTGACCACCAGTTGTGTAACTAAGCATCTGTACAGTGTCACATTTTCTGCTTTTGGAATAAATCAACTTAAAAAATATTAAAAGGATGCCATGTTCTTCTTCTCTAGCAGGCACAGTGTGTGTCCATTACTTAGAGTGCAGTATTACTAACAGTGTTAATGACATTACTGGCTCACAGCCAGCGATCGTCTCTCCTCTTTCACCCTGGATACCTGACTACCTGTCTGTCTTTAGTGCCCTTCTGAGGCGGTGCGGCCCTTTTAACATGTTTACTTTAAACTGAAACAGCAGAGAATGAATTACCAACTAATTTTGATAATCTGTGATTTAAGGGTTTTAAGCAAACATACCATGAAATCGGTGGTTTCAGTTTCTGATATTTGAATACTTGTTGGTTGTCATTGCTTTCTGTGATATAAACTGCATATCTTTACATTTAGAAGTGTTCTTTTTTTCGATAACCCAATGCATTATAGTAGTTTGTCAAGGTTATATAGAAATGGCAAAAAGGAGGTACGAATTAGTACAAGAGACCAGAGGAGATGAAAAGTAAACCAGGGCCACAATGTTAATCAAGGTTCATTTATGATAATATGCTAATTCTGTATGTTTTTGTATCAATGTGATTAAGTGCTTTTATATTTTAAGTACTCACTCTGCTTGATTAGTGATGAAAAACATAACAATTTACGTAACAGAACTACGATATTGGATTTCATTTACATTATTACTCTACACGCATTTGAAATCAAAGGCATCATGATGTGGTAAAAATAACACCAAGATGCCCCGGATGAACAAATCTGACTCTCTGCCAGTCATATCTGGCATCCACTCAGCTCTTGGCTATTTAATTAGAAGGCGGGACATCAGCTTGTCCCCAGACATTTACGGCTCAGGATGAGTCAGAGAAGATGGGAACAGTGATTGGATGAAAACCAAATAAGATGTCTTGCATTACAAGCAAAAATTTATTTTTGTATCTCAAACTTGAAATGACTTTGGGCAAAACTTTTGAGATGGAAACTCTGATGACGTTCTGCAGTTTGGCTGGCTTTGAGTGTTGATGTCTCACTACTGAACAGAGCTCGCTGATGAGGTATTAAAGTCAGCCACAGGCAGCGGAGGCCAGACAGCTCAGAAGTGTGGTGAGGCCAAATTTGTTCAAGCTTTTCACGCTATCCGAGTTCAGTCAGGCTCGAAGGAAAAATATGTCCCCCTTCACCATAACGTTTTGGTGCATTTATAATATAGCTTAAAAGTTCAATGGCACCTCTGCAAAAAACATCTGGCTGCTGGTCGCAATATCTGCCTGGGAAAAAATAATACAGTGACCTTGAGCAGGGCAGTCATATTTACTGCTACTTTTGCACATATTCACACTTGGAGAGTGATTTTAAAGGTAAAGATTTGTCAGTGGTCATGGCTTTGCAAATCTGGCTCCATTCCTTCTTTATTCTCTGAGATAATGAAGTGATCTTTGAGCAGGATTTCACACCTCCTAAATCAGCAGAAAAACAAAAGGGGTCAAATGCCAGCTCATTGTTCTCCTCTGACAGCAAGAAGTAGACTTTTTACAAGAAGTTTTACAAGAGTATACAACAGTACTAAATGTCTGATATTGGCCACTTGTTTCTGGCATTAAGTAATCTTATACCACAGCTGATCTCTAGCTGCAAATTTAGCAGTGAATGATGGGGAGGAATAAAAAAGATTCCACTGTAAACAAGGTTGTAGGAAAAGATGTCCATATAATTTTATAATATTCATGAGTAATGTCGACCATTAGTGGTCAAAGAGGTCAAAGCTGAAAACTATGATGAAAGCTACTTCTGTAATGCAAAAAGGGAGTTTTGAATGCTCCCTTTTGTTCTGGGAAGTTTTGGAACTAATGCTTGATATTGGCTAATGCGTCTTAAAGGTTGACAAAACAATCTCACAACAAGGTCATTTAGCACCTGTTTCAGAGCCTTTACTCACTTTAAATGATCTTCAACAGATGGAGTTTATCTTATAAGAGGTAGTTATCAGAGAAAGAGAGATCTAAATATGCAGAGGAAGACAGACAGAGTTTACATCAAAGGTGCTGTTGGCTTGTTAAAACATTGGGGAAAACATTTTAACTGCACCTCCTGCCAAGATTAGCCCCTTTGTTAAAGATTCATTTTTTTTCTTACTGCTAGAAACTCAATGGAGTTTGAAACACCTGAATAAACTATAGAAATGAAGAGGCAAAGAGACGTGAACACAGACAAAGGAAGAAGTCTTAAAGACAGAGACGGAAAAGAGGAGAGTCGACAGGTGAGCAGGCAGCTGAAGTGGACAGACTATTTTTAGAAGGTGTTTTGTTTTATTGACAATCTCTGGTGTTACATCTGTATGTATGCTAGTGTTGTAGCGTGTGTGTGTGTGTTTCCTCTAACTCAAAGTCAGGGCAAAAAACAGCACAGCCATCTCGTACTTTCTTTGATAACAGTCGTGCACCATTTGAAAAATAACCAGCAAAGCATGCAGTATTGTACACTTCAAGACATACCAACACAAATGTCTTTAGGCTCCAGAAAACATTAAAAAGAAATATGTGTACAGACCACTGACCTGTCATGTTTTCTGCCAAACTTGAATTATGCAGTGCCCTACAACAAACAGCATTTATAGCTGCAACAGCTGTGTGTGTGTGTGTGTGTGTGTGTGTGTGTGTGTGTGTGTGTATCTGGTAGAGATAAGGCGGGCTATTGATGGCAGCGATGTAAGTGAGACGACAAACACACACACATAAACACACAGTCTTGCTCTATGATCAGAGGTGGGAAACCATAACTGTTCTCTCTTTTCTTTCCTAAGGAAGTGGGTTATCTACACACAGGATCAGGATTCAGGATACAAAGCCAGTTTAGTTGTGTGTGTGTATGTTTGTGTGACGGACAGAGAAATGTAAACATGCTGAGAGCTTCAAATTCAAGTGAATTTAGCCAAATTGTGTGTTTTTAAACATAAGGGGGAGCTGCATTGTGCTTAGAAAACTTCAATCCTGATAGATTAAAAATGCCAAATCAAGAAGCCCAACTTCATAACAGAAATGACCTTTACATTTGGTACAGACATTATTTGTATGTGTTAAACCTCCTTTTACATTAAATAAATCAGTGCAGGGTGTGGTTTTGTGACAGCATGACTGTCATGGCTGTTGTTGGCACGTGCCTGCTACATTTTACCTCATCTATTGAGACACCAAACTTGACCTTAGGTTTCTAGCACTAGCTCCAAAAATCCAAGAAGGCCTCTGATTGGTTGTTTGAATATTTTTTGGTAATGTCACTGCAGCTTTAACCACTTACATATAGTCTACAGTTTCACGTATTTGTGCTAAGCTAAGGCAATCTAGTGCTGGCTCTTTTGTCTTAGTTACAGATGAGGGGTTGGACATTTTCTCATTTTATACTGCAGATAAGAAGAAAAAAAAATTCAATTTCTCCCCAAAATTTCCCCTTTTCTTTAACAGTGCTGTTGTTGTTCAAATTTCGTCCATGGGGGTTTTCGGATTACTTCAACAGACTCATTTTAGTTTAACTCCATGTTCACTTAGTGTCATTGAGAGAAATTGCATGACCTTTGTTGATCAGTTCTGTAAAAATATCAAGGTTGCACAATAAAATGGCTTGAAAGCAAGATACCTTCTTGTTTAAAGGAACCCATCTTTTGCGTGTGCTTTCACTGAGACTCTCAAGATCCTGCATGGAGTGTCGAAATCAATTACCTAACGAATCTGGGTAATGGTCAGTAACCTGCTGCACAGCATTCAGCAGCAGCCTGACAACATGCTGAAGATCATTTGAATATTTAAAGTGACTGACCTTGTAGGCTTAGTGTTTGTGTGTGTCTGAGCCCCAATTCAACGTCTGACACATACATTTCAAAGTGCCCCTTCATGTTTTATTTCAGTTCCTGATCTTAATCTTGTCCTAGTTCAACCATCCTTAATGTAAAGACTGCTTGTGTGTGTGTGTGTGTGTGTGTGTGTGTGTGTGTGTTTCTTTCTATGGATGGATTAAGAGACTCTATATAATCCAGCTCTGAAAGCAATGGTCTCCATGATAATAGTGTAGTCTTTCCATGTGAATGTATACATTAAAGGATGTATGATCTATTTGCATTACATCTGTGTGAGTGAGTATCTGTTCACGTGACTGTCTGCATGTGACCAGTCTTGTCTGGCTACACACTTGCGCAGTGTGTGTGTGTGTGTGTGACACGATAACACGATGCTGACTCAGCAAACATTTCATCTAGAGGAAGTCGATTGCTTTCACTTCAGCTGAATCAGAAGGTCTCAACCATGAAAACGCAACCCACAAAGGCCACATGATGGGGAAAAACATAATGCTGACACCTTTTTTTTTTTTTTTTTTTAATGTAAAGACTGTGTTTGTGTATGCATACTATTTTAATATTTGGAGCTTTGCGATGCTGACCAAAACACCCAACAACAGACACAGAAAACCTTTATAATGCACTAAGTAAAGTGATGGTAGCTCTTGCCTAAGAGATTGAGTGTGTGTATTTTAGACTCACCAAAAGGCCTTGAAAGCTTCATAAATGTCGTTGAGACGTCTTCGTTTTAGTCCAGGCTGCAATCTTTAGCCCTGCAGTCGTACCTGAAACAAACAAAGAGCAAATAGACCCTGTTTACACTTGACATTTAAATGAGCCCATCAAAGCAGCACTATGCAAACAGAAACACAGAATGTTGCATTACACTAAACATTAAAATAAGTACACATGCATTGGAATAAACAAGCAAGACAATAAACCAAAACGTTGAAGACATGAGAAAAGCGCAGAACAAGAAAAGCCTCTGCAATTGCTCTCCCTTTGAATCAGTAAACGGATGGAGCCGAAGAAGTCCAAAGTAGATATTCATTATTAACAACAATTGTACTCAGAATCATCGAAATGTGTTTGATATCTGAAATAAATCCGAAAAATAAAAACCAAAAGAAGGTTGGAGAAGGTTCTTGTCTCCTAAGCTCAATGAAATGAGGTTTTCTTAATGTGTTTGGAAAGCAAAAGTCAGAGGAGCACCGACATTTAGACCACTGCAATGAATCACTATTAACATTATCTTTAATCTTACTTCTGAAAAATGTAATTTGCAAAGCACAACAGAAAGGGGCATCTCTAATTGCTCATCTAAACAACTACATTTTCAACTTGTTACCATAAAACACCAAGTTAAAAAGCAAAAATATAAACTAATAAAATTGTTTATGACACATTTTCTGTCCACTGATTGACAAACGTTCACCCTTAAATCCACTGCAGGTAGCTGGCATCACATCCACAATCAGGTGACATTTGGATACAGCAACAGCCAATTACAATGACAACAGGATATTTATTTAAGAGCAGGACACTCCTGTGCATCTTGACTTTAATTAAATTGACAAGCCCACAATCCAAACGCATTTATCACGCAGCTTTGTTTTGAACTTCCCACAGTCACAGGTGTGTTATCCTCTGTTATAAACTCCTCCTTCCTGGTTTATAACAAGCGTGCAGTGCATAAACAAATGAAGCCAATTCTACTAATGGACACCACTCAATGCCGAAACTGCCACCATTCTGCTTTCAAACATCCTATACATGATTTCAATTTAAAAAAAACAATTGAGACATATTCGTCTTACTAAATACAACTTAACAGTCAGACCTCATTATACATCCTAACCTATCGCAGGCTGTCACCTCCAGCCTCCCCTCTTTTTTGTTTTTGAAACAGGCCTACAGAAACTACTGTAACTGCCTCCTCCCCCTCCTCCTCCTCCTCCTCCTCCTGCTGCTGCTGCTCCTCTCTGCAGCAGCAACCTGAGATGCTGTGTATTGCGCTTGCCGGAGCACAGTATCAACGGTGCACAGAAAATGTTCGATATCCGCGTCCTGTCGTCGCCGGTGTGTACGCTAGAACACCGAGCTCACCTCGCCGGGTCGTGTCAGCCGCCGGCTCCGTGTTTCTGTCCGCTCAAGAGGTCGGACAGTTGCCCGGTTCTGCAGCAAGCTTTTGTTGCATAGGTTGTCCGCTGCTGCTGCTGCAACTGAAGCCAGGGCTTTAAATACGCCTTTAAAGGGATATCTGTCGGAAGAAGAGACGTAGCGCTAGCTTCCGCCGACGTCAGGGCAGATCTGCATAAAGGGGCGGGGTCTTGGCGTTGGTATACAAAGTAGGCAACAGAGGCAGATTTATTTTTAAAGGGCAATGCAACACAAACGGCATTTGTTTGAAATGCACTCTTTTATGCTTAGTCTTAATTTGAGGTAAGCCTATTTTTACATCACAATGATCATATATTATACCTGCTAAATTATTCCTTAATCTACCGTAAAATTTATATTCTTAAGTTTCTTTTTGTATTATTTTTTCATGAGATTTGAGCAATGCTTCATTGGTAAAGACCTGCAGGTCCTATGTTTCGTGTGTGTGTGTGTGTGTGTGTGTGTGTGTGTGTGTGTGTGTGTGTGTGTATCATTTAAAATATTTTATTACTATCCCCTATTTTTTGATCTCTCTTCAATTTCTGTTCTTTCTGTCTGTTCTTTTGTGTAGCACTTCGCACGTGTGTGTGTGTGTGTGTGTGTGTGTGTGTGTGTGTGTGTGTGTGTGTGTGTGAGGGTGTGTTAAAGAGAGAAGAGAAAGAAAAAATAAGTCATGTTGTCATTGTTCCTTTATATTTTATTTTTATTGTACTGTTATTACTGTTATTGTTATTAACAGTGTTTTTTATGACATACTGGCCTTAAAAGTTGTAAATATTAAAAAGATTTGGACATTCCTTCCATTGTTAATTTTTCAACTATTGCATTTATGAAGAAAACTGCAGGCTGCTGGTCACACAAAGTGTGTGAAGAATACATTCGTCATGGAGGAGTGAAAAACTCTCGAGACTTCTCCAGCATTCCTAATGATTGTTAGTTTTTGTCCGGCCAACAATTTTAACAACATACAACAACAAGAAAAATGGGGCTTGTACAGTATAGTAGTTGGTGCGTGTGCCCTATGTGTGGAGGCTGTAGTCCTCCAGGAGGGCGGTCCTGGTTCGAATCTGCCCTGTTCCTTCTTTACCTCATGTCATTCCCCACTTTGTTTCTGACTCTATCCACTGTCCTATCTCTAAATAAAGGCATAAAAAGCCCCAAAATAAACTTTACTACAACAACAACAAGACAATTAGAGCACACAAAAGGGGGAAGGTTAAAAGCTTGGGGGGGGGCTCGGATCTTCCTCTGCCTCTCTCTCTGTATAAGTATCTATAATGATTGCCAGCTTCGGCCTCTGAGGCCCTGTTAGAGGAGGAACCGAGCCGAAAAACACGGACAGATGTCAAGACGTATTTAAGAGTGCCAGTCAAAAGAATTATCCCCTGCATGTAACAATTTGCAAATACTTTGCCTGCCCTGGAGGATGACGTGTTGGTCTTCTACAGTTCTGTCATAACATGCATGAACACCAAAACTATAAAGATATAATGGGCTGATGTCTGCGGCAGTAAATAGTTGTACATATTTGTAAGGAACAACTCAGCAGGACAAATCAATAACATACTACGCCACCTTGATGTCATTAAATGTATCTTTACTGAACTACAATTTTCTTTTGAATTGAATGATTGAAGGAGAAGCCAAACACAAGTGCTATCAAAGCCTTCTAAGACTTTTAATTCCTCTGTGCCATAGTGCTCATCTTCACTGTTACCAGTCATTTTTAAATTCATGGTATTGTTCTGTAAGTTTTCATTGAGGGAGTCTGTCTCATTATGATTCTTAAATGTCATGATTGAACTTTTTATTATGAAAATGATTTCATAAAATCAGCATCACTGTTACCCTGTATCTGATTTTCTTCATTACTGGTCACAAGTGTGAGTCAGTTCCTCTTACATCATCCCATAGTTTAAAAAAACTCAATATCTCCTCATATTTGTTTAATTTTCAGCTTTTCCTCTCTTGAATGATTTAAGGTGAAATCAAATCATAATACCAGTTGTTATATGAGATGTTACCAGCAGGTCAGTGTGAATTAGACTAGCTAAAGTTTTAAGTGTGCAAAAACCTAATAAATATAGTTTTTTCCTCCTTATTTTAATTGTTGCTCAATTTATCATTTATGCATAAAATTTGTTAAGTTCTCAGAGATTCTTCAAAGATTGACATCCTCAGTTGGAACAAATAACCTTGAGGCTGGGAGACAAGACCAAGCTCAGGAGTCAGTAAGTCACAGTGTCCTAATAGACAACCTTAACTGTTGATGTCTTTGTGATTACGTAATTATTGACCAACATAAAAATGTGCAAATCTTATCTTCCTGTGTAATTTTGTCATTTGTTTAGTTATCATTTACTAGGAAAGTCAGACATAAGAATTACACTTTTTCCCTTTGAAGCATTAAACTGCAGGACTGTGATTCTGTTCGGATGACTACAGTTTTCTGTTTCAATGTTTTGAGGTTTTCTTAGTGAAGTTCAGCTGCAGCACAAAACAAAACAATTGTGTGTGTGTTCTCTCTTAAATCTAGCCCCTGCTTCCTGTAAGTCAAAGTTTGTGGATTAAAGGAAACTTATTTAAAGCTGCAGGAGACACAGAGGACAACTTATCTTCCACTGCAGCCGAGGCATGAGTGGAGCTGCACGGTGAGAGATTAACAAACGCTTAAGGCTTTACGTAACCCAACAATGTACAGTGTGCACACATTAAAAATACACTTACACAAATACAACTGCAAATCAACACAGACACAATATTTTATTTAGAAGGAGGAGAGTTGTACAATACAGAATAAATGGGAAGGTCAGAGGTCATTCGTAGAGCAGCAGACAGGAAGACATTAGCTTTTTTGCTCAAGTACACCTGAGCAGAATGAACGCCACCCTGCATCCCACACAGAGAAAAAGGGAATTGAACAGCTTCTAAGTTTACTGTGAAACCAGTATCAAAGTGCAGAGCTGAGAAGAGGGAATTTCATCAACGGAAAAATAGTCATTAGACATTTGATGATGTCATTTTTGTTTAATGTGCTCAAATACAGATCTTATAAGGAGATATTTCTATTTTATTTACCATGCAGGGATAATAAGGGGCACTAGTGGCCTAGTGGTGAGTTTGCATGCCCCATGAACAGAGGCTGCTGTCCTAACAAGGAGCCCCTGGTCGGGCTTGAACCTCTGCTTGGAGGGCTCTAGCCTCCGTACATGGGGAGCAGCCGAACCGCCATCATCAGCGCTCAAATACTGTTTACTGTTTTGAACTAAAAGGTGCTTAAATAATTCTTGAAATATGCCCCCCTTTTGCTCACTGAATGCATTGACATTTTATCTAATTTCCCACGTGATACATAAACAAAGCAGTCTGTTAGCGCAGAAAATCTATGTTTCAATATTGTCAATGTTTATTCACTGCATCTCTGTTTTGTTGAAACTTTTCAGTTTGATCAGTTCTCGTCCTAAACCTTCATCTACTGTAACTCCTCTTGTGGCCAAACAGCACCCTCTTCTGGGGATCTCAAGGAATTGCAAACTCTGTCAATGTTCAAGAAAATCCTTTGCATCCAGTATGTAGTCCTGTGATGTACACAGACTGTAAATATTAAAGATGTACACAGTAAAAAAGATAAAAATACCATCTTTCAGGAGGATTTGTTACATTGTAAAATGTTGCACGGAGTGGATGTTTCTAAATTTAATCTTAAAGTAAAGAAAACTCTACTCTTGACTCATAATCACCGTTGCACGTCTTGTGGTTTATCCAGAATATATTTTCTTTTTTTGTTGTTAAAAATTTTTTTTTCAGAAGAAGTCTCCCTACATCACAAGTAAATTAAAACTTTGATAAAAATGAAGACAAACTGTAGACTTTATATACCTGCTGTGTTCACTCTTGGTTTATTGTCAGAAAAATATTGTACGCAGTCGTCGTGATTTTATCAAGTTTAACATAAATTCTTAAAAAGTAAGTACAGAAAAGGTTGCATAAAAAAAACAATACATACAAGGTTGAGAGGTTTAGATTAAAAAAGGAACAGATTTGATGGTCATGCTCTGTACAGTTGGTAAATAAATAGTGAATGTTAAGTTGAACCTTTGAATAAATCTCTTTGATGCAACTTGTAATTCTTCTAAAAAAAATGGAATGCCTGCTTCATCATTCAAGAGTCTCTGAGGAGAAAAAAACGCTTTAAAAGATAGAAAAAGTTAAATAAAAGACTTTAGTCTGAGTTAATAGAAGTCCTTATATAAAATAATGACATATTATAGATACATTTAAGCAATAACAGACTACTTTCATCCAACTCTTTTGACTTAAAATGATAAACAAATACATTTCTTATTTGCGTGCCTCACAGCTTCAAATCTGACAGGAACATTTCTGTGTGGAGTTTGTATGTTCTCCCTGTGCATGTGTGGGTTCTCCCCGGGTTCTCCGACTTCCTCCCACAGTCCAAAGAGATGCTGGTTTGGTTAATTGGTGACTCTAATTTGCTGGTAGGTGTGAATGTGAGTGTGGCTGGTTGTCTGTCTCTATATGTCAGCCCTGTGATTGGCTGAACAGTTCAGGATGTACCCCCGCCTCTTGCCCAATGACAGCTGGGATCGGCTCCAGCCCCCAGAACAGGAAAACATTTTAATATACTGTGTTATAAACCAGAAAACAGATGAAAGAAATGCTGTAGGAACAAAGAGACAACTGTAGAAACTTTGAAGTAAAGTTATGAGGTACAACACGAGCAGTTCACTGTGAAATGGCTATTTTCGGTGTTTCTATCAGTTTCCACTTTCAGGACATAACTTGTTCCTTTTGAGATGCTCTTAAACATGTTTGAGTCTTTCAGTTTCCATTATGTTTCATGTCAACTGTACATTGTCCAATATTGCATAACTCCCATCCAAATAATTTCAGTGCCTTTCCCACAATGCAGCTGAAATCACAGCAGTTTTTGTTTTCAGGGTAGTTTGACTCCTTTGAGCTGCAGGAGCTCACATCAGACTCACAGCTGGAGGCAAGGCTCAGTCACAAAATGTTTCCACATAATACTAGTGTGATCAAACCTCATAAACAGGGTTAGGCATTAAATACTGCACGGTATAAAAATACGAGAAAAAACATAAACCTTCAGTGAAGCATGGAACTTTGGATTAAAGAAACATTAAGCAAAACGTGCGCCTTTCTTTCAGTCTTCATTTGTCCTTCATAGAACTTTAAAAAAAATGTGTTAGTGCTGTTAGGTTTTTGTCTGCAAACAATTGAGACATATTCGTCTTATTAAATACAACTTAACAGTCAGAGGGAGAGGCTGCTCAGACGGTGACGCTCTATGTAAACGTGTCGCTCCACACGACTGACTTGTGATTCCTTCATATCGCCGAGACTGAAAAAACAAGTAGAGGTTTTGATTTTCATCCATCTCTTCTTGCTCCATTAAAAAACAAATTCTCTCTTCGTTCCCCAGATCTCAGCCTCAGGTTTTTTTTTCCAGTTCAGGTGAAGATTTAGAGTAGCTTCATTGTGTTCGAACAATCCAACTTTAAAAAAAAAAAAAAAATGTCTCACTTCCAGTCAACTGCACTACTCCACCTTCCAGATGGCGATCTTTCCATCGTGTTTGCCAGCTCCGCTGAGCACGTACCGATCCTCAGCAGAGCAGAGCGACTTCACCTTGTCGTTGTGGCCATGAAGCTCCTTCAGAACCTGATGGCGCTCTGTGTCCAGGATGTAAACCTTCCCTTTGGTAGAACTGCGGCCAACACCACCAACCCACACCTGGAGAGGAAACGGACAGATTTTAATTCACTTCACAGATGAGGAAAAAAAAGGCTCCAATGTGTCATGAATATGTGTTCTTCGTGTGCATTAGTGTAGTATATTAACCTGGTTTTTAACTTTGATCATGCAGTAACACCCGCTGCAGTCCTGCAGAGACACCCGGTGAAATGGTTTTGTAGTGTCCTTAATGTGCCACACGCACACTTCTCCTGAGTCCACACAAACACTCCACAGCTCCTCTCTCTGGAACACAAGCAAACGCAATGGACAATAAGTAAAGCTTAAATATAACACACAAAATATCACAGGGCTAAAGTCAGAGAGTGTTTGTGTGTTTGACCTCCGGTAACAGCAGAATAGAACTGAACGTAGCTGCGGATCCTTTTTGTTGCTCTGGTAAATTCAGACGTTGTTTCACTGAACCGTTTCTCCACACTTCCATGATATTTTCCCTAGAGCCTAGAGAGAGAGAGAGGGTGAGGGATTACTTAATTCCCATAATAAGATGTTATGTTTCCTGTTTTTAAACTTGAGTGTTATTGTGAAACTTACAGCACCACAGCGTTCCGTTACAGGTGGACACAGACTGCAGGCGGTCGCAGGAGAGGCGGAACTGCCTCTTTACCTGAGGGGTGTGACAGACAAGTGACAAACAGGAAATATGAATCACCCAACTTTGGTTTGAAACAAGAGAAGAAGGAGGAGGAGGAGCAACCAGGAGAGTTGGTAGGAATTAATCAGGCTCAAACACTTAATTTCTTAAAATGGAAACTCTCAAGTCAAATTCTTTTTTTTAAACGCATTTGAAAAGAAAGAACAGGCTCTTTCATTTTCTACTTGACTTGCAGTTGTTGTTTTTTGTTGTTTAAACAGCAAGCTAATGAAAATTAAAGTTGACACTGCTGTGGGTTTCAAACTAACCTGTAGTGTTGAGATGTCCCACACCATGACGCTTCCCTCTGCGCTGCAGGAGTACGCCACCTTCTGGCTGTAAGTAAAAGTACACAAGCAAATGTAAGGCCAACTCTTACTTCAGCTAAGTCAAACATAAACTGATCTGTCTGCTTAAAAAACAAACAAAAAAAGTAACAACACAGTTATTCAACTGAGAACTGCATTTTTAACTTCAAACATCATAAGCATGGGATCAAAAGAAGAAACAATAAATAACTACGTATGCCAACAATTCCATCAAGTTTACATTTTAGTATAAGGATTCTACTGAGTTTGCATTCTGTCATTTAAATATTTTTTACACTGCATCTGGACTTCATAACAGATGGGACACTGAAATAGTGCTGATGAGTAGCTAATGCTAACCTGTATTTGTCTGTGTCTAGTGCCAGTCCGGTGACCTCCGCCCTGTGTTCGGTCAGCTGTCTGTTACAGACCACGGCCACCATGCTGATGATGTAGATCACTGAGTCCTCTGATCCCATCCAGACCTGGTCCTTATCAACACCCAGCATGCAGTTCTGCAACAACAGAGAGAAAGACTTGAGAAGTCACCCTGCTGAAAAGAACAGATGTGTTTGCAGGTTTTTGACATGATAGGGTTTGAATTCTAAAAAACGATTGAGAGAAGAAGAGTGTAAATGTTAAATGGACTGTGTCGTGTTTTCTAATCTTCTGACTACTCAAAGTACTTTTACACCAAAGGTCACACCTACACATTCACACACTGATGGCACAGGTTTCCATAGGAAGTGACCATCAGAAGTAGCTAATCCCATTCGTACACATTCATACGCCGCTGACAAAGCAGCGGGAGCAATTTTTAATTAAGTGTCTTGCCCAAGGACACATCAGACATGTAGCTGCATGAGCTAGGGATCAAACCCCTGACCCCAGAAGATGACCGACTCTACCAACTATGTAGTTATCATACTTGTTCTTAATCCTGGACATTATTATTGGTACATTATGTAAATCTCTGTGAAACACAGTCAATTTTACTTTTTAAATATTTAACTGACCAATTCATTTTTTCTTTGTAAGTCAGAGCAAAATTAATTAGAGAAAAAAATGATGATAAAGATGTATTGCCCTACTTGTCCACTAGATGGCAACATTGACTTTCCCAGTCCATTACAGATTTCATTTAACAAACACAAAGCTATCTAAAAAAGTAAAGACCTAAGGCCCAGATTTAAAAAATAACAAACAACTTGTCTCCAAATGTTCAGCTATTTTCTTATCGGCCATCTCTCTCTGTGAGAGTGTTGATCCAGGTGTTTAACGTGTGACCTGGCAGTGAAAATATGTGAAGATATTCTAGTTCGATTTAGAGAAAGAAACTCTGTATCTTTCTCCTTCTGGTTAACAGATTTCATGTGACTGTGACCTGCATGCTTGGAGTAGAGTTCAGTGATTAGCACAAACCTCAGAGATGTCCTACAATGCTCTCGTACGTATGTCAACTCAATTTCTGTGAACGTTCTCCTTTAAGGCCCTTCCACTAACTTTATTCTTGTTTCTAATTTGTTGTGGAAGCTTAGAATAAGTTTTCTTACAACAAAACTATTCAAAACACACTGCGTCCTCGCTGAATGAAACATGTGCTTGCAGGTCATGCTGATAAAGTAAAGCACTGGAGCAGAAAATAAACCTGAAAACAGCTTTATCTGTATCTGATGTCGGTTGCATGCATGTGAAGTTTATCTGTTGAGTCTGACAAATAATGTAGAGCAGTCTGACGTGTTTCCTTTAGTGATGGGAATACTTCAAAACATCACATCTACGGCAAAACTAGGAATAAGAAAGCCCTTAACTAGCATTATTCGTCAGGGTTTCTTACTGCTGGAAATATATGCATGTCTCTCCAGATTAGTTTTTTTTATATTACAACAGGCAACAGTTGTCAAATGTATCTGTTAACTTGACTTAAGTGGCTTGTTCAAAGACACTATAACAAACACAGTCCAAAAGTTTGGGGAAAAGAGTCGTGTGAGTCTGAGAAATCGGACAAACTCGTATTTACTTGTAATTTACTTGTCTCCCAAACTCTCACTGGAAACAATATGGATCAGCTTTTGTGGGCCCTAACTATATATATTGTGGTTCAGCACCTGTTGTAAGGTGTTTAAAGAGAATGTGATACAGCTAATATATAATATTGGAGTCTGCCTTCCCTGTTTGATTATTATGCATAAAGGATTGCACAAAACCAGTACCTTTCTACAAAAAAACCCAAAACATAACATCTGAAAAGTAAGAAGACATAAGAATCTAACAAATCATCCAATGCCATTTTCCTGCTCTAGCTCTCTGTTTGCTGGGTTAGGGTATCTTGTGTGTTTTGCTGTCACGGTCTTTGTGTTTTTGGTGCATTCATCTGCATTTGTGTTTTGGCAAACAGTCCTGTTGCATGCGGAGTGTGAGGGGTCTTTACCAGTCTTGCATTCCCAACTTGACAGGTGTGTGTGAGGGACCAGCTGGAGGCATCAAACACCATCACCTTCCCCCCGCTCACAGACACCCATAACTGACCTGAGACACACACACACACACACACACACACACACACACACACACACAATTTATCAGTTATTTTTCATCACCTTGTCACATTCTTGTAACACACAGCGGCCAGAGTTTACTCTTTCAGGAGGCCAAGAAGAGAAATTGAATAACATACAACAGTTTGAATTTAAACACGTCATGTTCAAAACCACTTTTCTGTTGCCCGACTCCACCTAACAGTTCAACTTCCTCCAACGTATTCATTGCTATTTAAAAGCATCACTGGTGGGGGAAAAAAAGAAAGCAACATCCTGTATTTCATAGAGGGAGGGAAAAAGAGGGAAAAAGAGGGACAGTGGGACGTAGAGGGAAGAGAGAGTGAGGGAGAAGGGAGTGGAAAGAGGAGAGAGAGGAGGGACGTGGGAATGAACTGGACACATGCCAGGAATTCAAATCAGTGACCTATATTCAAGACAGAAAGCGAGGGCGAGTCAGAGAGAGGCAGGGAGGGACACTGTGAATGGTCAGATTTGTTCTTTTCCATGAACAGAAATCCCAAAGAGCGGAGTGCTGCAGAAGAATTGAGCAGTGTTTGAATATGAGGGATTCTCTGAGTATGAGTGTGCACAAGTGCGTTAGTGCTGGGGGTCAGTATGACACCAGCAGGGCAGCTAAGTGGCCCCAGATGGTTGGTCTGCTAAAGGCTGTGGCTTTGTGGTTCTTTTTAAGCTGTTCCCTCTTAGTCTTCCTGCCACGTAATGCGCCAGCCTGTCTCCCCCCCTAATGAAAATCAAAGGACTGAATACAAAGGGTAAACAACAGTAAAAAAGAAAGAGTCACATTGGATGACTAGTAAGGTAAAAACGTTTAGTTTCTTTCCTTTCTGTGGAACTCTCCTCGAGGGATAAACATCATTATTTCAAAAGATGTTCCCTCATTGGGTGTTTTTATGATACGGGGAGAAAACTGTCCAACAAAGTTATTCCAAAATCTCCCTTAGAAGTTTAAATGTATTGAAATCTGTGTCCCGTTCATGTCCAGTCAGGGAGCCTTTGTTGCATGTCACCCGCAGACCGCTCTCTTCTCCTGAAGTCATAAAAACTTTACAGGTAGGAAGCATTGCTGCTTTAGTCTCTTAATGAACTCACTTGTGTTGGAGAAACATGTGGTGTTGTTTTTGCTCTCAGGGCAGAAAGGATCAGTGATTTCACTGCTTGACAGATTTTGGCAGAATGCAGGATTCATTCATTTTTTTCTGGGCTTTTTATGCTTTTATTGTAGAGGCAGGACAGTGGATAGAGTCAGAAATCAGGGACAGAGAGAGTGGAGAATGACATGCAGGAATGGAGCCACAGGTCTGGTTTGAAGCCAGGCCTCCTGCTTAACCCCCTGTACATGGGGTGCGCGCTCCAACCACTCGGCCCCTGGCGCCCCACATTTCTTTGTTTTTAATCATTTTTGAGTAAGTAAAAGTCCTTCGTACATTGTATAAGAAGCCTTTTCTCATGGCTAAGAAATGTTACTGGAAAAGTGTGCCAGCCCTCTTCCTAATGTACTAGAGAAACAAAACCGATACTCTGCTCGTTCTCTGCTGGTAGAACACAGCACTACCATGTGTCTTCATAGCTTTAACATGTCTAGTAATGGATGGTTGTATAAAAGTATTTCAAGGCAAAATTAGTCTGATTGGTCATGCTTTGGATCTTCCCAAAAAACAACACTAGTGGATTTATTAGGGTTGTTTGCTTTTGTAGGTATCACTGATGCATCAGTGTCAATTTAACCTTTTTTAATTATCAGCTAGAAACTCCACAAAGAACTTTTAAATTAACTCGGTTCAACTTTGTAACGCTGTATTATCTTGATTGATATAACCTCTGCTCAGTGCAATGTTCTGCTACCTTTTCTTTGTCCAGTGAAATAAGGATGGCTCTACATTTACAGGCCTACATTTTAAAAAAAGCTTTACTAAACACTAATTTGTACAGAGAGGGACAATGAGGACAATCGGAAGATTTCACAGCTCCCATAAGAAAGGCTAAATTGTAAATTTAAGAGAGTGACGCCTTGAGAAAAGGCTTCCCTCTCAGTTCCGTCTTTCTTGCTTTCATAGCTTTTCCGTAAAAGGAGACAGGAAAAGGAAGTGTTGTTAACGTACAGCTTTACGACTGCTGTCTGTTTTTGTTTAAGTAAAACTCAGTGACTGAGTGATCGAGTAAGAGAGAGAGAGAGAAAGAGACAGAGAGAGAGAGAGAGAGAGAGAGAGAGAGAGGGGTAATGACAAAGCAAAAGTCATGTGTGTGTGTTTGTCAGTCTCTGTATTTGTCAGTGACACCTTGTTAGTGTCATAGATGGAAATGAGTTGTGAAACTACTCTAAGGGAACCAAAGGGAGAAATCCAGCACTGTCATTTCACTGACAACAGGAACACCATCGAGATTTCTCAGTTTCAGAGACTCAGGAATCATTGTGTGTATGTTTTTACCTGGTGTGTATAGAAGTACATCTACAGCCTGAGGTGTAGCCAGTTCCAGCGAAGGGTTAATTTTGTGCTTAAGTGTGTCTGCGGTAGTCTTGGGAACCATCATGGGCACTGGAGACACACAAACCACTGTTAAAGAGAAGTAACTAACCTTTCACAGGTGGTGAATGCACAGACTGAATAAAACACACCACATAGCACAGAGAAATAGATTGGTTTAAATATGCTCACTGCAAAGGAAAGAAAGCCATTAACCTCCACTTCCTGTGTTAATTTGGTAACAAAGAAGAAATCAAACTGAATCAAAACAATTAACAATGTTGTAAAAGGGGAGGGGGTCAGTCGTTGTTTTTAGATTCTTAAAGTTAAACGGAACAAAATCATCATCCTTTACCTTCCATCTTGATGCGGTCAAAGTGAGCTAACTTGGAAGCAGCATAGATGGCTTTACTGTTCTGGAGGCTGCCAACCACTGCGTCCATTAACAAGGCATTGGTCAGAGCCTGCTGCATGTACTGGGGGTCCTACAAACACAGATCCATTCAGATTGAATATGAATAGTAGCAGCTTGCAAAAAAACAAAAAGCATAGTATCTCCTTGATCCTAAGGGGGATAAATGATATCAGCAGGCTGCATGCATCACAATCAGAATCAGTTAAGTTTACTCCAACAAGGAATTTGTTTTTTGGTCTTTTTGTTGCAGAACAATGAAATAAGAAAAACAATAAAAACAGGCAGCACATTAAGAGAAGTGATTCTACTTAAATAGACAAGTATACAAATATTAAACAATTTATCAAAATGTACAACAATGACATGAAAACGATTTACAGGATGTCATAAAGTAGGGCTTCACACAAAAGGAGATCGTACAGAAATAACTACTCAGAGGCATTTAAAGTCAACAACGTGTTGTGTCTGTTAATAAAAGATAACCAAGAAAGTGAAAGAGAGAAATAAGAAATAAGTTCATGGTGAGAATAGTAGTAGAGATTCAAGAATAAATGTAATAAGTAAGGCTTTAACAGGAAACTGATTCATTATTCTATACAAGGAGAGTCACTAAGGATGAATGATTATAATATACAGTTAATCATGCATATAATGGTTAAAAGGGCCACATTTAGAATATAAAAAAAATAGGAAACAGACAGAAAGCAAAGAAGATAGAGACAGACACGTTCCTGTTACATCTGGTTTCAATAAGGAAACCATCTGAATTTGTTCAAGTGTGCATATTTGTTTGATTTCCACATCAGGGAATTTCAACCACACCCAGAGTTCAGTGAGGTTCCCTGGTATGCATAAATACAGAATACCTTCATAAAAATCAAGATATGAGTAATAAAGGCTCATGATAACTCGCCACTTTTTTTTCTTTTTTTTACTCTAATACTCTTTTTCATTTCCCTCTTCCTCCAGCACATGCGTAGCATCTTAATCACACATTTAGACCTTTCAGTTTGAGCTTTACCTTGTGTTGGTCTGCCATGTTGCGCCCGGCCCACATCTCTTTGACCATCAGGTTCCATAGCTCAGTCTCCGTTTTCAAATTGGCCTCAAACGTCTCCTTTCTTCCCCACACTCGCAGCTTCAGGCTGGGGATTCGCAGCAGCAGGAAGGGAGCGGAGGACATTTTCACCTCCTACACGAAAGAGATAAAGACTTCTAGTTCATTTTTTGAAGCTATTAGTCCTGATAAAGTCATTTCTCTTAACTTGTCTAGTCATCACTTTCCTTCTGCTTACTTTAACCTTTTCTTTAAATACTTACTGTAGGAAACGTATCACCTGACTCAACATTTCTATCGTCTCTCCTTCTATCTCACCTCTAAATCGCGATATTGTGCCACCTCCACATATCCCGGGCGTCCATCGGTTAGCAGGAAAAGCCGTCGTTGAGTCATGGCGATCTTCCCCACGCCGCGGCTCGTCTTCACAGAGGAGGACAGCTTGAAGACGCACTCGCTGGGCTCAATGTGCTCCAAGACAGACGCAGGCAAGCACACCTGGAAAAATTACAAAAAGAAATGTGTCCACTCACTTCCCTGTGGACTTTACAATATATAAGACTTTAGAAAAACAAGTGTAGAGTTCTGCTCGCGTATGACAAAGCAAATTCTTCCAATTTTATCAGATATTCTTCTATCTTGATGATTATTATTATTTTTTTTTTACTTTTAATTTAGGTTTAAAACGCCCTTTCCTTGATTATTCAGGAAAAAAAACATATTGAATAGAAAATTGCCAATGTTCGCTCACTCTTAATTACAGTTTTGTTTACTCATAGTTCCCATATGTAGTTATAGTTTGGGTAGCCATCAATCACATTAAGATCCTATATTGACAAAAAAAAAATTGTTTCCCATATTACTTTTGGCAGTCTTATTTGAATACATATATCATGTCATTATTTTACAATTGTGTGTACCTGGTGCCAATAATCTTTGAAGATTTTATTTTGAAAAATAAACAATATTAAACTAATTCATCATCAAACGTGTAAGATGCAGGGGATCTCCGCTGGGGAGTACCATCACACTGACAACACATGTTTTTCTTCTCTAAAACTTGTAACTAATTAATTTAACAAGGTTTCATTCTCAACATTGAAAGCTAGGTCACTGTTGTTTTCTTAATCTGATGTTTTCTAGTGCAGTAAAATAAGCAGATCATTCAATTCTGCTCAGCTGACATCCTTGACCTTCCACGTATATGTCACACTGCTCCGTAACACTGTGCTTTTGAATATGACTTCAACTCATGTGGCCAGTACTGTGTGTTCTACATGAAGGCCTTTAAGTTCAAAACAAAAGAAACACACAGACCTCCTGAGCCTCGGCCTCAGTCTCCTTCCAGATGGTGTAAAACACTCGAAACAAATCTGGACCAACCTGCTTCTGATGACCTGCGAGAAGTAAACAGACTTTCAAAAATCTGACATAACTGCATCTTTAATACATATTTTTCTATCTCTAACACACAACACACACATCAAGTCAACTGAATGCAGACCAGGCCAACAACTTTATTTTCTCATTCCTGGTAATCTTACCACATACAATGTAGTCTGTGCACTGTCCCACACCCACTGTAATATAGATAAGGTCAATGTCACTTCAATGCAGAGAATTATTTTCAGGAGGCAAATTGTACTGAAACCTCAGATTTGAGCACCCATACTTCTAACTCCTTTCCTCCCCTAACACTTACAATATATTAAAAACAAATATTGGTTGGTTCTCAATCCAGAGCTTTTTTAAGACTTCCTGTTTAACACGCTAAATCTGATCTAAATCTCATCACAGGAATGTTGTCAAACTGGCTGGCAATACTTGCTTCTGTCTGCTTGCAATGTTTATATACAATGTATAAACTGTGGTGTTCAAGTCTGGTCAGTACAGGAGCAATCCCATTCAAATGTAAATTCATATATTTCCAGATGTAAAAGAATCTTTACCAAAAGGATTCACTGAAATGTAGATAGTGGTTTTCAGCTTGATAGCATACTTTTCCTGTAAATCAGTCTTTAGCCACATGCTAACAGCCTGTTAACGACCACTGGAGCCAAACACAAATCAGCCCTGCAAGACAAACCCTCTTTCTTCAAGAAGGGGTAAGGTAATTATTAACCTGAGGAATAAATGTTTGCCCAGGAATACGGAGCAGGAGGAGGGGTGTGGTGGAATGTGTGTGCCAAGTGTATTTATGCTGTGGCAGTCCAAGCTCAAGAGTTGAGAGTTTTGAGAAAAGCTCTGCAGGACATCCTGTTTGATTGAAAGTCGAATTACAACCACTACTTACCAACTGTGAGGGCATCAAAGAGTCTGTGTATGGTTCCTTGATCTTTTACTATGCCGGACTCCTGGACACATTTCACAAACTCCTCCAGGTGCATGTACTTTTTCGGCAGCTGGAAGCGCTTCACTGCACCTTCCTCCTGCCCGTTGCCATGGCACGCACGTTCCCGCTCCTGGTCCCACTTGACCCGACTGATAAGACGTTTAATTTCCTGCCGTCTGTCCGCCTGTGGAAAAATTATCTGTTACTGTTACACAACTGATCAATGTATTTCCAGTCTTTAGAAGAATCACTGATACATATCATGGTTACTCATACTTAATGTGACTTACACATATCTATTACTCTTCATTCAAACAACTGAATTGAATCAGTGAATAAGGGCTTTAACACCTCATGATAACCTGGACTGACCTGTAACCGTTCAGCCTCTGGCAGAGAGTCAACCAATGACTTCACCATCTGGGAGGGGAAGATCTCTGAGTCAGTCTTATAAAGACTCTGGAAGTCCTCCAGTGCATCCAGGCGCCTGTTAGACACCGTGTTCACCAAACCACGCAGGTAGTGATACCTAGACAGAGAAAAGGATTGATATGGGCAGTTTTCTATAAAGTTGGTTGGTTTATTTTAAGGTATACAAACTATTTGTGTGTCATTTGTTTGTTTTTCTCCTTAAAGCTCATGTGAGGATTCTTTAGTTGGTACTGAAACACACTGACACTAAAAACGATGCCTCTATAAGACCTACAATAACAAATGTGACCATAGACAACAAGGTTGATAACTTGTATTGAGCACTTTTTCAACTTGTAACCATTGCTGCTAGTAGGTGTCAAACAAAGTGAGCACCAGCACGCAGCTGAAACAGTCTTTGATTCCATTTCCACAGCAGGTGCACAGGGAAAGATATAATTCACTTGTAAAAGAAAACCAAATTTGATTTCTCATTGGAAAACACAACATATTAACGTAAAGAACATGATCAGCTAAGACATAAGATGTAGCACTCTGTCCACAGGGGGCGCCAAAATCAATACAATCTGAGAGTTCTTCACAGGAGCTTTAAGGTCTGGTCTTTCAGTGCCCAATTTATGGGATATAAACCTTTCTTCAATTTGTTTAAGTCCCAAATTTAACCACTAACCCAGTCATTTGAGAGAAAAGCTATACAATTAAGAAAATATCTCTACTCTCTCTACTGTGTCTTTTACAAGTAATTGAAAAGGTTTAACTTTTTTTTTCAGAAAACATTAATATTCTGTGTGAGAATGATCCGTGAGATATGACTTTCAAAATATATATATTCAACTTTGTTGAAGATAAACAGTCTCTCCATCCTTTAGTACCTGGCCAGCAGAGCAGACTCGTCTGGTGGTGTCGCATTAATAGACTTCCCCAGGGAAGCAACCATTTCGGAATAGTAGTTCTGGACGTAATGATAGGCCAGCGGAGGGGGGAACTCTGGGAGGCGGAAAACCTTCGCAGCCTTCTGAGGAAACTTTAAGCCTGGAGGTCGAAAAAGGACATTCAAAACATACTTTGACTGATTCACTTTGATCACCCTGCTCTCCATTAATCCCACTCCGTCAACAGCACTGACCAGAATCGGGAGTCATTTTCCTGAGGGAGGCTGGTCTGTTGGACCTGATGGTAGGTAAAGTGTCATTGGCAGGTTGTTCCAGGTTAGGTAGGCTGGCTCCCAGCCGCTTGCTCAGTCTGTTATCAGGACTGGTGTAGCTGCTGTAACCAGTCCTGGATAGCTCAGACATGGGAGGACGCCGAGGAGACTCTGTCATCACTCGATTCCTGTAGAAGAGGAGAGTGATGTAGACACTGGAGTTACATCATTACAACTTGTTTTAAGTAGATTTAATAATGATCTCTGTCAATATGTGTATTTTTATACACAGGCAATTTATTGTTTCATTATAGAGGCAGGCTTTACGGTGGCTGGAAAGTGCAAACCAAAACTACAAATTGTGAAACACTTTTACAAAGCTTGAGACAAATGTACATTTTGGAAAACTTTTTACATTTTATAAAACAAATTAAAAATGAAAAACACTTTTACCAAGGACAAAACAAATGTACATTTTAGAAAACAAATTTACAAGATGTGAAACACTTTTAAAAGCACTGAAACAAATTAAAAAAACAACAGAGCACTTTTACCAGTCCCCAAACTCATTTACAAACCAAACAATCTTGCCGGAAAGGGTATGTACAGATGCAGGAAGTGACCTGGATGTGATTGAGTGAGCAGTCAAAACAAATTAATTGGTTGCTCACTCAATCTCGTAAAAGTGTTTTGCATCTTGTAAATGTGTTTTCTAAAATGTAAATTTGTTTCATCCGTGGTGAATGTGTTTTTATTTTATACTGATTCATAAAATATTAACATGTTCTCCAAAATGTTAATTTGTCTCAAGCTTTGTAAAAGTGTTTCACACTTTGTAATTTTTGTAATTTGTAATTCCCAGCCCCAATAAAGGCTGAACAATAAACCCACATGTTACATTTTGATGTATAAATGTAGATGTAAATGACTGCCATTCATGACAGGAGTGTCTTTATTACTTGAATACTTTTTACACATTTCAGTGTTTCCCCTACCATTATATTAGGGGGGCAGCCCGCCCCCCTTGAAGGTCAAGTAAAAAAAATTAAAAAAAAATGTTTTTGGGCTTTTTGTGCCTTTATTGTAGGGATAGGATAATGGATAGAGTCCGTAATCAGGGAAAGAAGTCATTTAAGGATACCTTTCCAATAGAAAAGGACAGCTGTCATTAAAAGTAATGCATGAACACCAAGATTCCTTCAAGTGTTTGTGTCGGCGTGTCCCCCCCCCCCCAACGCTGTAAACCTAGGGGAAACACTGCATTTGATAAGTAACTAAGTAACAAGTAACACAAAGATCAAGTAACTTTGTGTTTACTTCTTTTCCTTTACTGTGTGCATGAAGTTCTCTGTGTACATATGCAGATGGTAATGTGAAAACCTGTTTGCTGTGTTTTTCCTGGTTCTAGGGATAAAACTATTATTTTCTTTGTCATTTTACAACAACAACACCTGGTGATAAGCTAGCGCTTCGGCCTTTGCAGCTTTAGCAAGTACTGGCAATGTTGTCCACACACATCAGGATATAAAATTGTTGGATATCATAGATGGACATATTTGAATGTGATATGAAAAGAGAGATTCTCCTCATCGTGTTCCACTCGGTTGTTCACACTAGCAGTGACAGAAATAATGTAAAGGTTGAAAATAAGTCAACTGAAGGATGGAATTTCAAATCAATGCCTAAAACCTTTTTTTTAAGCACTTTCATCCTAATATGTAGGAACATTTGGATTACATGACGGGCTAACACTGCTTTATTTCCATCCATTACAAAGAATGCAAAAAAAATGAGGTATTTTAGGCACTATACAGACTAGAGCCATACTCCTTCAGCCTGTGCTGTGGCCAAGCCTGTACCGTGTATTGGAGACCCAGGAACAAGTTGAAATGTAAACTGGTTTGAAAAGGTACATAAATGGTTTTGTTATGATTATTGAATGTATTGACTATTTGCTCAGTCTATGTCTTTTTGATATATTTTCTTTTTCCTTAAAATGTATCAATTAACAATGCTATATCGACACCTCTTTTAACTGCAGCAAACTATGTTTACTCTTCTTGGCTTGCACTTTTACCCGAAGGTTACCTCCATCCCTCACTTGTGACCATAGAGCGTAAATAAACATGGATGAAGCCTGAGTGATGTCACTCATTGGTTACTCGAGGGGGCTTTTGAAGCCCGTTGAATAGTCATGCTGAAATCTAACTTTTAGTCAACCTAATGACATGCTAAGAGCTGGAGCTGAGGCGGTCCTTCAGTCTCCTAACAAACAACTACACCGCGCCAGCCCGTCAGTCAGGTCGGCAAAGCGCCTTATTATGAATATCTCTTATCCTTCATCAAAACAAAACGTATAAATTATATAAGCTATTTTCATAAAACCTTCACCTTTGACATAAAAAATTCACCCCCCGTACACTGTGTGCCGATAAAGACATGAGTTACTAAGACTAAATACTGTATGTTTCCGGAGGTCTCCACTTGCTTGTGATATAATACCTTAATCATACCTGTGTGCATGGTTTCTTGTGTTTTGCTCCATGCAGCTGAAGGTGTCCCGTTTCCTGTTCAGCCTGTCTCGCAGGAATGAGTGGAAGATATGAGTGTCTAATACCTGGGGACAGCAAGCAACAAAGAGAAGAGAAGAGCATGCAGCACATATTGTCAGAGTTTGCTTATCTGTGTGCGTGCGCGTGTGTGTGCATGTGTGCGTGTGTGTGTGTGTACCTTCTTGTAAAAGGACTGGTCTGCTGGCTCCCTGGTCCTCAGAAACTCCTCACTGTTAAAAACTCTGTGTTCATGGTTTAGAAAGTCCTGAACACCCCTAAAAAATGTGACAAAAAGCACGTTTTAATTAGAAAAACTCAAAGGAACAGAGTGAAATGGTTTTGTTCTAAATGTATCTTAATGTGTTGAGTGTACCTGAATATGTTGACCACTAGTTCCAGGGTGATGTTCTGTATTTGTTTGTTGAGGCGTGCCTGCCAGTCTCTGCGTTGGGATCGCAGGGCATTGGCATCTGTGCCTGCTCCGAGGTGACACAGCTCTAAGTCATAGTGAAGCTGAAGACACTCTGCCCTATATGAAGATAAACACCAGGTGAGTAAGAACTGTGTACTTTAGAATGGCCACACGCATTATTTTATTTAATTTCAAGAATAAAAAATGTTCCTCTATAACTTAATTTAGAAAGTATTTCAAGTTCGATGAAATTTGAGATGCAAAGACTACTGGCATTTCAAGAATCACAGTGATTTTTGATTAACATAAATGATGTACAGTAGAGGAGTGACATACTGTTGAAATTAATCAAAGTGGTGGATCAAGAGAAATCATAGCAAACAGCGTGTGTGTGTGCGCGTGGTTTTGTGACTCTGTGCATGTGTTACCTTGACGTAAAGCTCTCAGCTGCTGCCAGAGGAATAGATGGTAGATCCATGGTTTCAGACCACGACAATTGAATGATGCCATCATCAATGTTCACCAGGATTAGCTCTTCTGTCTCCTATAAACAAACATACACATCAACATATTGTAGGTACAATGGGTACAATCCATTACATCACAGTCTGACTGTTGCCTGCTAGATTGACTAACAGAGATCTATTGTTTAACACATGAACTGAGCTACTGTACGGCACTAAATGAAGATGAATGTAGAGGAGAATAAACCGTTATTGTTAAACACTGCTTTCACACTTGAACTCCTGAAAGACTCCTGATATTTGCCGGAGGAGCTGTATGTGTGAACGCAAACAGCAGCAGTTCTCACTCGGACTTCACCCGAAGTTTCTACTACTCAGACCCCTGGTATTTTTTCTGCAGCAAGTCCGAGTGAACTGATGTGAGAACACAGCAGGATATTATTCTGAGAAATCACCTCGAGCCAATGGGAGTGGAGAGTGACGTTTATATACTGCTGCAGGGTGCATAGAGTGTATGCATGCATCCCGCTATGATCCGGAGCAGTCCTCCTGAAATTATCTAGATATTTTCAGGAGTGTTTATGTGAAAACAGCTTAAGTGAGGTCAGGCTAGAACCACTGGTCATTTGAATTACACTTGAGCTGTTTTTTTTTAACACTTTTGATAAATGATTTGATGTTTATTACAAAGCCAAGACTTAAGAGGAAAGGCTGAAAGCAAAAGAAATGTAACTGGTTCTAAGTGTTAGTGCCTAATGTGTACATTTCATTCAAATGAACAAACCAAGATTCTCCCTCTGTGGGGAGAAATGACAGTATAGATGTTGACTCAACCCAAAGAAAGAAACAAAGTGAAGACTATAATCCTGAATCCTGACATAAAGTCTTAGCTGAAATGGAGACGGTGAATATTTGCACTCACTGCAGCCACCTCCTCGAAATGACTGGCGTGACAGCCCATGAGGAAGGCTGTAGGAGCCATGAGAAAGTCGAGCATTCCTTGAGCCAGGACGGGAACATAGGGCTGCTGCCAGGACAGAGGCTGGAAAAGATGGCAGGAGAATAGAAGACCTTTTAGATTGTCTTAAGATTTAAGTTTTTTTTATTTGTCTGTTTTAGTGATAATAAGACACAGTGTTCCTTCTATACAGACCTGCAGGTACAGCAGCAAACTCTCTGCCACCAGAGTGAGTCTGGCCCAGTCAGCGGAAAATAAAACCAGCCTCTGCTCCTGAAGGAGGCATGACAGCACCTATAGAGAGGAGGGACTCATAGGGTGAAACTGAACACAGGATTTTAGTACTAAAGATACACTTTATGACTACATATTGACCGACATCACCTCGTTTCTTTAAAATCTACTATTATTGTTGTAAAATTCTATAGAACTAAATGACTTCATGCCTTTATACATGCAATGCAGTAGTAGTTTCTGCATTACCTGGAGTAGTGTTGTATGGCTGAAACGGAGAAATGGTAAATGCAGGTCAATGTCGATAACAGGGCTGTCCTGATCCTCCCTCGATGGAAGAACCACTTGGAGAGGACGGAGAGTAAATGACTGTAACACAGAAACACGCAAACAAATGACTGTAAAGATCTGGATAATGAAATTGCTCAAACAGTGAGAGAAAAGAAAACTAGGGGTCTCTAAACTGAGACGGACAGAGAGAGTTTCTGACCACATGTAGCTGTCCAGGAGGTGGTAGAGGGACCAGCGAAAGCTTGGCTGAAAATTCTTTGATGGTCTCCTCAAAGTCAGCTTGTCTTGCAGGACGCAGCTGGACCAGGAGACTGAGAATAAAGAGACATGGATTAAGAGAGGGGGTTTAACTTGTCACCAAATCCTCCTTGAAATAGGATGAAGTTATCCATTGGCACTATATGCATTAAGTAAGAAATTACCATGACAAGCAGTCTCTCAGAGCGTTGTAGTACGGGAACTTGGAGATCACACACAAAGCAAAGGGTGTATAAAGACGAGACTTTGATGAATTCCACCTGTGTCCATTCTGGATGGAGCCTTCCAGACAGGACTGACGGAGCAGACAGACAATAAGACAAATCCTTTCAAATGTAATGAATTCAGCGTGATCTTGTGTTTGTGTACCAGTCTGTGTTTGTACCTGTACTGCTCTGTAGTAGTGCACAACAACTCCATGGGTTCGGTTCCCAAATAGGTCAGTGAAAACCAGGAAGTGATAACTGTCTTCTTTCTGCTCATTGGCCAACTGGAGACCACCTAGCCAATGGAAACCAAGAACATATACCACTAAGAACAGTTGAACTGTGTGCAGAGCTGGTAATGAGAAATGTAGATTTTTGTGGCGATGACATGAAAGCCGCATCAGACACTTCAACCTAGTTGTCAGTACTTCATATCAAAACCAATGAAGCAAGGCAAACATTATGATGCAACAGATAATACAGAGTACCCCAATGCTCACTTGTGCCTGCCTCAATCAAAATTTAACATAGTTTTCATGAGTAGTGGTTGACAATTGTGTTTGTATCACTTTCACTTGTTGTTGCTTATTATGTGGAAATGTGCATAACGGGTAATGTGTAAAAATTGTTTTCTATGGTATAAGTAAGTATAAGAGTAAATAAGAATATATAAACAAGTATAAACTTGCTGCTGGAGTTATAATTACTTATATTACTTATTATAATCTCATTGTCTAAATGATGTTTCAGACTTCCAGAATAAACAGATGTGTTCTTTGAACGTTTGAAACATGATATTAAGTCCACTAGAGAGTAAACACTAGTACCAGGGAAACAGAGCTGCGGCAAGGCAATGAGGTCCAGATCCTTTGGAACACTGATGTCTTCTGTAACTGAGGACACTTCAGTACGATTGGTTGACTCTCCATTAGATAGAACCTCTGCAGCACGATCTCGCCTCTTCTGTAAACAAAAATAAAGCATTCAAACACTTTTTTTTTTTTAACTCATGGTAAACACTGATTTATTTATTATGCAAGATATCAGCAAACCCTGTTTAAAAGCCAAAGGGTTCATATTGACCATTCATGTGTGAGTCTGTATTCAGAGTTTCAGATTCGAGATTTGTTTTACCTTCTTTATAAAACTCCTCCTCCTCTGGACACGACTGAAGGCCGGCGCAATCGCCTGGCTCGAGTTAGTCTCCTTGGAAACAAAGGGCGGGGCATGGACCTGCAGTACCTCAGCTTCCAGCACGGGGAACTCGTCTAACTTACTCTGCTGATGAAGCTATAACCGTTAAAAAATTAAAAGATTTATACATTTGGAAACCTACTGTAGATGTCACTGTTCACATAAACACCCAGCATCAAGTTCTTAATGAATGTATGTCGACGATGTCCCACCAGTTCTGTTACTTTAAAATAACAACTTCCAGTTTTTACATTAGATTCTGATTACTTCTACATAGAGGCGATGTTGGCGCAAGAAGCATGCAATGTGTAAAGCTGCATGTATGTTTGTTGGGTGAAGTTATTATGAGTGACAGCATACAGTCCTCATGTAAGTGTATATTGTGTAGTGTACATACCTGGTATATGTCTCGAAGCTTATCACTGGAGGCTCCAACTACCACACACGCCTCCAGCAGTCCGGATGGTAGCTCTGCCATCACATAAGCTGCCATAGACACACACAAAGGCAATTTAGATTACATGACATCTCTGCCATAATAACCAAGCCAAATGTGTCTTCCCTGCTTGTTCAGGCATTTACGTCATTTGTTAAGGTCAGTTGTTAAAATCAGAAAATACTGATTAAAGAAATATGTCGGATAGTGCTGTGGTTATGGTTTAAAATACTGATAATTTAAACAATGTCTTACAAAAGATTACCAAAGCAGAGATCTGGTTTACCAAATAGCAACAAAAAGGATCATAAGCTATTATATTTGTACTGTGTAAAATAAAATATTGGGTGTTATTAAAGACATTAAACACACACACACACACAAATCTCTTTGCCCACAACATCCTACAGATATTTGACGAGACAGATGCACTCTCACTCTACCGTATCACACTTATGTGTGTAAACAGCATGCTGACAACACAATGACACATCTGGCACCATTAAACTTATAAACCTGTTTTGTCACTGAATCACAGATTTTAACCAACTTATTACCATAATCCTACCTAAAAGGGAACAAAGAGTTTAGGTGTCCCTTCGTGGATAACAACACTTTTGATCCAAACAAGCCACATTTAAACCAGATCTTTTTTTTCCCACAAGTTGAAGCCTCTTCCTAAGGCTTTTTTCTCATTTCAGTTTCTATTACTTACTGTTCAGCCACAAAGGTTTGGATAAAATAATGAGTTGGTAATATTGTTGATATACTCATCCTGGATGCCTTCACTATGTGCTCAAAGCATTGAACTTAGCATGCTACAGAGAGTACAGAGATGACTGCTTAGAATGCGTTTCCCCTTGGGTTTCAGTGGAGGTAGCAGGCTTTTATGCAGCCTACCTAAGAAGATACCTGCAGAATACTCAGCACAGAGTATTTCAGAATATGTGCCAATTGGTCATCATGGGGATCTTTTAAGTCGTATACATGGAAGTACAATATCAAAAACAGGTTTTTGTTCTGGATATTAAGGTAAACTTCAGTATCTCAAGTGCATCAACAATGAAAAAGTTAAAATAGCACAATCAGATATGTATTCCCCACTTTTGAATCCAAATCTACATCCTTCTTCCTCAACAAATTATGTGGACATACACATGACGTGTTTTTTTTTTTTACAAACTAAAAAGTCGATTTGTTTTTAAACTGAACCACTCCTCAGTCCCCGACACTAAGACAAAAGTAACACTTCCTGGGAATACATACCCTTAACAATCAATAGTCCAACCTATCAATCCCCAACCTTTCTATCTAGCTATCTTGGTAGAGCAGAACCAAGAATGAACATCTGACTTGTATTAGGTTGCAGCCAAAGGCAAACCCAGGAACTACATGAAGGCATGCTTTTTTTTAACCCCTCTCTTCTTCCATGTCTCTCTTTTCTCTAACCCCGATCCTTGTTTTCCTTCTTTTATCCACCTACGTCTCCTATTTGATTCATTATTTGCTTCCTTTTGTCTCTCCTCTCCGTTTTACCTATTCTCTTCTTTCTTCTTTTCTCACAGTCTGCAGGTCATTCCTATGAAGGTAGATATGTTGCAAAACAGGAGAGCTTGTAGAATGTGATTTGAGAACTTGAGGGGAAAAAAAGTGAACTTGTATGTAAAAATGTTTACTTGTATAAAAAATCCACTACTTTTCTGGCGCGAATCTGCACTGCTTGAGTTTTGCAACACATTTTGCGAGACGTCTGTAGCAAAACAAATTTGTACTTGTAGAAATGCCCCCTTTCTACATTTGCATTTGTACAAGTACACATTTGTTTTGCTACAGACGTCTCGCAAAATGTGTTGCAAAACTCAAGCAGCGCAGATTCGCGCCAGAAAAGTAGTGGATTTTTTATACAAGTAAACATTTTTACATACAAGTTCACTTTTTTTTCCTTCAAGTTCTCACATCACATTCTACAAGCTCTCCTATTTAGCAACACATCTCCCTTCATACATTCCGGCCTCTGACTAACTTCCCTGCAGTGTAATGGAAACCCACAAACACACTTAAGTAATTTATTTCCTGACAAACCCTTCATTTTGGAGTGTATGGGTATGTGTCTTTAACCATTGTCCACCATTATAGTAGTTTTATAACCATGTGACATAAACAAACAGTTTGCACAGTCTCTTAAGAGCATGTAAAGCAACACACACTAAACATTTAACAATATTAACAATAACTAAGAGACGAGCAGAATCACTCTAAAAAGTTCATGTCCATTGCTAGAGATAACACAAGAGTAGAGAAAAAGACAACACTAAATAAAAACAGTCAGTGGTGATAGTGTTACAGCTGAGACTGAAGTTGAAAGTTTAGTTTTAATAGCCTTCATGTCCCAGACATTGAACAAACTACAGTTTATCAATCATGACCTTATCAAGCCAAATAAAAAAAAGAGGACAACTGCAGGGGTAAAACTAAAGCAGCACACATTAAAGACTGCTCTTAAAATTATTATTATTTTCTTGGAACTCAGTTTGTAACGCTCTGTACTTTATTGGGCGTTTTACATGAGGTCAATGCTCACGCCACATAGTCTGACTTACATTATAGTTACAGAGGAAGACACATCCCTCTTTAACATCGTTTAGTGAAACTTAATTCAATTGTAGCAGTTAAGTTAGGGTAACATACGGGTACATTTGTATTTTTGTCAAGTTTTAAAGTTAGGCTTCGTCCATCAGCTTAACATTATGGTTAAATGATTTGAAGTGTGAGACACTAACTTTCAGTCTAGGCAGATAACTGACACAGAAACCTTAAAAATTGTGACTGACCTTAGATTTTTTCGACCATTTCCTCTGGCACACGTTACATTCACACAGAAGAAGCGTTACTTTGCTCAGGTTTCCTCGTATGAATCTGTTAAACCGTGAAAACGATCCAGCAGTCTGAGCAGTGGCTTCAACACCTCCTCAGAGTGAGCTGTGATTCAACAGTTACGGACACGCACGCATGCGCACACGCACGCACGCGCACACAGGTTAACCTCTGCTCTGTCAAACACATGTGGTCAAAACATCAAACCCCGCAGTCGATAGGTTTTCCTGTATGTCACCTTCAAAATAAAACCGTTTCCCCCTGCATAGGCTGAGGAAGACACCTACAGAGTATCGTGACGCCATCTACTGCATGTTTAGTGTACTGCTGTATTTAACAAATTAATTAATTGAAAAAAAGAAAGTAGCCTAATAACTGATCACACTATTCACCAAATGACTACAGGCAACTTCACTATCAAACATAATAATTTTTAAATCTAACTTGGGGTCAGCCAGACATGCAATAGGCAACTTCTAGTCTACATTACCTAGCAATGTGTTTTTTGTTCCCTCGCAATATTGTTGTGTTCAATCGCAATATTTCTGCGTTACTATACAATAAGATAATTTTGCATTCCCTTGCAATACTTTTGGATATCTTTAATATCCTACTTTTGAGTTCCCTCGCAATTCTGAGATCGAAGGGTCTCTCAAGAAGAAAGCTGCAAGATGCTGTCAATGTCATCCATGAGTTGTAGTCTATGCGACAGCGGTGTTCTGAGAATTGGAAACTAAAATTAAAATATTGTTTTACTAAACTAAGAAGCAGAATTATCAGCACATCTTGTTTAAAGGGGGAACATGTAAAAACGGCCTTTGTTACAAATGATGAGGAATGACATGCACAATGAGCATTATGTTTACACAATTATACTGCAATAACAAGCACCGGCCACCAGATGTCGTCTTTGGACCTTTCTTTGCAGAGAGGAGACGCACATAACTGCGATTGTCGGCTACTCACTACTCCATAGAAGGGAGTAAAAATGGGCAGTAAAAAAAGGGTTTACACGTGTAAATTTAAATGTTAATTATAATTAATTTAATTGATCTAATTGTATATTAGACTTTAAACCACAGATCTTTTGCCAGACAGGATTTTATCATTAAATCTGTTGGTCTGTCAGTGGACAGATGTAGGCCTACAATATAGCCTACCACAGAATTAGACCATAAACCAATCTCTATATTATGTCAAAGTTAAAAATGTCCCTTCTAATTTAAATTCTTGCATTGAAAAGTAAATTAAAAAAAAAATCAATAAAAGATGTAGACTCAAAGCTCCTGGGATGAGTTTATAGCTGATTATGAAACAGACTAAACTTGTCTACTTATGATCTATTAAAGTAGAAAAGACCATTGGAGAAACGATTTATCATTTCTAAATTATTATCTTTTATGGCTGAAAGCACTGCTGGGTGAAGGTCTTAGACAGTGAGGTACAGTACACTGGCAAAGCAGACTTTGTTTTTCAAGATTTTTATGACATGTTTGACTGCAGAACCGATTGTCCTTCAAAAAACACTCACACATCTACAGGACAAATTTAACAAACAGATAACATTCTACTTTGACCTGTGGTCTGATAGATCCTGACAGAAGCTATAGTATCAAAGCATGCTTCATGTTTCCTTACATTAAAAATGCATTGAGTTGCATGTTTTTAAAGTGATTCTGTACTGGGTGCATAATTTGACAAGGGATAATTTTCCATTGAAATACATTTCTCCTTAAATCTTAAATAATAGAGTACCAAACTCTCTCCCCATACTCTGATAATGCATAGTAAATGCTCTTTCTTTTCATCTATGCCTTTTTATACTTAGATGCTCTCCTTTCTTTGTACTTGTGTTCAATATATATATTCATATGTTACCATATAGCTGATTGAACTTAAAGCTCCTGTGAGAAAATTTCTGTTTTCATTGATTTGGGCGCCCCCTGACGACAAATTCTGTGCTAATATTGTCTTTTACATGTGTTAGTTTATGTTTCTTTTTTTTTTTTTAAACAAAAACTCTCGTCCTGCTTTCTTCTTACTCTCAAATGTACCACTCACCAGCAATATCTGACTCCTATACCTGCTGCAGCTGTTTCTGGCATTAATAATAAGTAGGCTACACAGAAATAACAAATATTGTTCTTGATGGTCTTTTGTTGGTTATATAGCGAGATTCATGAGTATTTAGTCTGTTTCATAAACAGTTAAAACTCCAGGTGTTTTTCTAATTATGATCAAATAATCTCTTACTATCATGCAAAATAATAATAACATATAAAGTTGCTTTATATTCATTCATTCTTTTATTCATTCATTCATGGGTTGCTGTATGCTGAGCCTGAGGCGAGGCTTTCCTCAGAGGGAGTACGTCTCTCTCTCTCTCTCTCTCTCTCTCTCTCTCTCTCCCTCGCTCCTTGCAGCAGCCATATTGGAATGCTGGATGTGGAGAGGGGAAGTAGGAACAAGCCGAGGAGACGAAGGGAGCGAGGGGGCGACAGGCAGGAGCGAAAAAAACACAAACTGGAACTGCTCTTAGCTCTTCAACTAAAATAACGGACTATTCACCAACTTTCACAGCGTCTCCCACCGGTAAAGTCCACACAAATCCCTCGGACATCCCTTGGACAAGTCAAAGTGAGTGATGTTATTTCAAGAGCTAAACTAAAGTGTGGGATGCGGTTGGTTACTTTGTAACGTTTGGTGTTAGCTCTTTCCTTACCCATAGGGTTTGAACCACTGACACGTCTTTTCACTTGGATATCATTGGAAAAAGCCCATAAGTTAGTTATTGACAGCACGGTAACTATGAGGCAGGCCTAGTGTTTTCTTTGGGAACTTTTAAAGCTGTTGGATATTAGAAAGTGAACAACCTAACTCGTCGCCACAGTCACATGGAGTGAGTACGTTCACTGTAAAGTGGTCTACGTAAAATAACCTTGATTTAACTCCACAAGTATCTCAAGTATATTTACATTTATGGTGGATTTATGCTTATATGGTCGCTCTGGTTTGGACACAACCATTTGAACTTAGGCTACTGAACTGTCCCTTTCTAACTTTATGGATTAGTTGTTTATATTTCAGAGTTGGTAGGAGTTTGACAAAGCTTACAATCTTTAGTCATTTAGGGTGATTGGAAACAATTGTGCTAAGTGTGTGATATGAATGATCTTCTTACAATTATTCTCGTTTTAGCTGTCATCAGTTTGCTGATAGAGTAGATAAGATATATCAGATATGTAGATGGCATGTTAATTGCAAATTACAGCTGTTTCCTCAACACCTTTGTCAATATGTCAGTCATATGAGTTCAATTAAGACACAAGCCAAAAATTCCATATTTCTATCATCTGCAGTGATTTGTTGCTTATCTTAGTGTTAACATTTTGCAAGTTGAATAACTTTGGGCTTCAGGATGATTACGCTAAGCTCTCTTACAACTTGTGACCTCTTTCACATCACACACTAAATGTGGAGTAAACGATGAATTGACTCAAAATCAAATCCGCAGAGACAAGTCCTTGTCCCATCATGTAAACTCAAAGGTTGCATGTTGAAGCAAAGTTCCCTAAAAAGCAATGTTTTAATTTTCCATCCAACAAATTGGTTATAAGGGCTTTGCGAGACACTCAAAAGTATATTGTCCCTACTATCCAAGTGGAATTTCCCCAGTGGTTAAAGGTCGCTGGAGCCTGACTTGTTTCATATTCCACGTGTAAGAAAATGCTTATGAACTGCAGCATCCTGAGGCCACTGAGGCTTCAGAGTATATTAATTGGAGCGATGTTTTGCAAGCTTATTTCTGCAGCGTTTCTGAGAGGTTGGGGTTTAGTTTATTGACGCAACCTGCGTAGGTAAGCGCTTGGTATGGTGCCTTACAAATATGATGTTTGTTGTCAAGTCAGAGTTATTCAGTGATTGATGGAGGTATTTTAAATTCATAGCTGCTAAACAAAACACCCAAAAGTCATCCAATTGCAAGTCTGAATGCTATTGATTTGAGATTAACTTCACAGAAATACTACCATTGTTTATTTGTCTTTATATTGCAACAGCAGACTCAAATGCTCTAAACCAAAAAGAGAATCTTCTCCTATCTACGGTTGTTGCATACCTGTATTTAATCAGGCAATTGTATCATCAGATATAGTCTATCAACATAACTGCCTCCTTACACACACTTTGCCAAGGACAGTAGTCAAATGAACAAAGACGGACAAAGTCTTGCACTAACTAAAACTGATTGGAAAAGTTAAACAAGAATTGCAGAGAAAAGAAGTTGGATGGAGTTAGTTAGATACAGTAGTACGCTAAAGTCCTTTGTTCCTCAAAACGCTCTCTGGTGGATTCATCCCAAGTGAACATTTCCTGACAATCAGCATGTTTACGTTTGTTTAAAAGATATAGCGTTAGTCTGACTAAAATATGGCTTTTTAAAATACATCACATACTCAAAATACATAAACATGTAACTGAAATTGTTCTAAATCAGATTTCTCTAAGTTGGACTCACACACCAAGATAACACAGTTGGGAGTAGACTTACTCTGTCATGTATGCACCTCAATCGGCCCAAAGCAGGCCAAAGTTCCTGCGGCCGGGCTTCGACCCAGAATTTGAACAGCACAAATGCGAAGAAGACAGCCAGGAAGAAAACAAGACGAAGGTGTCAAAATGGCAAAGCTAGAGGGAGAAGGAGGAGACCCAGGTTATGTTGTGTCAGCTGAAGAAATTCAAATGTTTTATGGAAGGAAAACACAACCTTGCCACTTGCTAACTTGTTTGGTATATGATGACACAATATTTTAACTAGAAGAAGATAGTAATAGCTGGAAGAGGGTATAGCCCCACCTACTATAGCTAAGTTGGACAAACCTTTGTCAATAAATCATTTCTCTCCTTGTCCATTGTTTTCTGGTACAAGGACAGTAGTCAAATATGATCTATAACCGTGGCTACACTTAACTGTGCCTGTAAACATATTTACTGACCGGTTAGGATGCATGTGTAAACATAAATGGCCAAATCCTTTCACATTAACTGTATGCAGACCCTTTGCCATAAAAAGTCTGAACAAAGTCAGTGTTGGCTGATGTGAGAACGCTGCAGTTAATAGCCTGGAACTTT